TCCTTCCTTCCTTCCCTTCCTTCCTTCCCTTCTTCCTTCCTTCCTTCCTTGCTTCCTTCCTTCCTTTCTTGCCCCTGCTCTCTATGTCCACACCTGCACAGAAAGTTTTTTTTGATCCGGCAAAAGCTTTTTTTTGATGCTGCTCCTTTTCTTCTTTTCTCTCCACACTCTGGCCTTTTCTGCTCATTATTCAGTAGGATTTTTTTGATCCGAGAAAGTTTTTTTTGATTCCCATTTTCTGTTTTTGATCCGTAAAAAAATTGATGCATATTGATGCGCATGCCACGGACCCCTCTGTCCAGTTTTAGGGGTCCCTTAATAAGACTAATTTGACAGTGCTCATATGCGTATTTTTTTACATATAACACATTGCACTCAAGCGGCCGGCTGTGAACCAGCCCTCTGAGTCAAAGAATGCTGCATCCTCGAGTAGGGTGACATGTGCAAAGCAACATCTTCACAACGAGATTTCGAAAAAATGACGGGCTCTTCTTTTGGGGGTCGCCATAGCAAGGATAGCATTTTGTAGCAGGGCTGCGTGCGATGAGCACGCTGGGCACACATTTACATGACTTCAAGACGAACACTACTACTGTGGAATGTTGACCCGTCCATGTCATTGCCACTGCTAACCAAACTGTGTCATGTAATCGACACAAATTGTTGACATCGAGCATGCTGTCCATCAGCGGCTTAATATGACTCAGTATCAACCTCAGCAGCACTGACCAGCAAATAGCTTTCTAGGCGTACCCGACCTCACGCTGATTGATCGACGCATGAACTCGACAGCATGGTCCTCACTCTCCCCCATGAGCAGGGGCGAGGCTGCAGTAGAGAAGCCGATGCGGACCAGCCTGGGTCCAAACATGGAAGCCATTCTACGTGGAATTCCGTGCCTGCTGCCGTTTGATGATTTCCGTGTTGCTGAGGTTTCTCGGCAACTTCAATTCAAATGGCAGGCACCCTATTCAGTGGAATTTGCCAGGCAAGCTGAAGTGCATCTGGTCAGAGGCTTACGTCTCAGTCTAGCAATGAACCTAACGACAGTAGTAACAATATGACAAAAGCCCGAAACCAGTGCGCCTCACCACCCTTCAAGGATGTCCTAACGAGCAGCGTTTCCGAGGCTTCAAATACTTTGGGGCAGAATGGGATGAAAGACCCAAGCTGCTGTTTCGGCTGCGGACCGCGGCCCTGCGCAGCTTCTGCTGGATTAAGCGCCTCCAGCATCTTCACCTCATACCTGAGCTGGGTCTTGATATTAATTACTTCAACTGTACAAGTGGCCGTTGAGACATACTGCTTGATCCTGAAGTGACCGTCTTCGCAAGCAACAAACTGTTGCGAAACTGTTGCGGACCCATCGCCGCACATGTTTCTGATGGCTTCTGTAGCTCCTTTGAAACTCCCTGAGCCGCTGACTGCACAAGACCCTGCTCAAAATACTGGATTGTGAAGCCTAGACATGCCTAGACCTGCATGTGCCAAAGGTGAGCTGAGAGGCTTGGGTTGGTTACCCAAGCCTGATTTCAACCCCTCTTTTCGGGCTCAGAGCCTTCTGTGGGCTCTTATCCAATAGTACAAGCCCTTGCCAGCAAATCTTCCCCTCTACACAAACTTTCACGAAGCATCTGTCAAACTTGCGAGCAAACTTACAAAGGCTGCATCTTTCAGAGCCACCGGAAGCATTTCTAGCCTAGCAGACCTAAGGGCGTAGTCATAGTGTGCAAGTTAGGTTCCGCAAAAGCTTGCGAGAAAAAAAACTTTCGAATGCCATGGCGCGAAGACGCATCTTCCTATCCTGCTGATCGTTTAAAAGTCGTACCAGGATTTTTAGATCACAGCCCAGGTCTTACTCATACAGGGCAAATCCCCAAAAAGAGGTTTGGCTGACGAGGTGTGAGAGATCGGAGGAAACAGCGTCACACTCAGAAAGCTCCTTAGATCTGGATCTAGGGCTTCTGGTGGCAGCTGGGCCTCTGCTACCTCCCCTCAAAAGAATTAAACAGAAGAACCTAATGTTGCGGGATTCTTTGCCAAAGAAACAAGAATTGGAGTAGCCATCCCACTTGTCACACATGTTTGCCAATGGCGGATCCTTTCACCTCAACAATGTCTGCCTCATGTTGGCATCCGCGAAGCCGCGCATGCAACGAGGGTGCAGAAGATCACCGAATTTTGGATCGTGACCATTAGACACAAAGAGCACCCAAAAGCATGAAATCTCCAAGCTTCAGCTAGGTGTTTCTCCAAACTTGCACTTGCTGCCTGAATTGGTTTTGAGCATGCTTCAGATGGGATGCATACTGTATATCTCTTCAGATCCAGAACTCCCCTACAATGCTTACCTTGAGCCAGGTTGCGCGTATCTGCCAGCCTTCATACCCACGTTCGCCCGAGCTCCAGCTGTCAGGTGCTGCATGCCACCTCAAACAACCACTGCAAACAGAACGTTGTGTTTGGTGGCCATAGTGGCAATATAGTGGTAATGGATTGAGGAGGAAAATTGGAGGGTAACAAAAACAGACAGAAATAGCGGCAGAAATCATTTCGGGGATGATCGGCAAGACCGGCAAGAGAACCAGTGATGACGACGCCGATGGTGATGAATAACAATACAGCCAATAGCAAGCATAACCACAGGAATAGTAACAACAATCATGACGGCGTCATCATCAAAGCTTCAAAGTTTGAATTGTGGCTTTCCAGGAGCAATTCGGCCCGATTCCAAACAAGCCACCTTCCGTCAGCGCCATAAGCAGCTTGTTGTCCTCAAGTTGTTCTGCCATGTTCTGCCTATCTCTCTCTGTCGGCTTGCGCAACTCAAGATAGAGGATTTTAGGATTTCGCTCCCTATTGAAGCAGACGGCCAGGGCTAGGCTTGCCCTGGCCATGCTTCCTTTTTTCGGGATGCTTCCTTCAGCGCAAAGATCTTGAGGCAGCCCCATCTTTGCTGTTACATGAGCCCTCTCAAGCCTGCAAGCAACTCCAGGACTCCAATCTAAAGCATGCGGCCTGATTCGAAGACGAAATTTCTCGAAGAAAATAAGTACAAACCACAGGTTTGTAACTCTCACCTGGCACGGTACACAAAAAACACAAGCGGATGAAAGTTGATGGCTTCATTCATCACCAGGAGACCTAAAGTGAGGGATCTTGGGGTACTGGGTTTGAAAAAATGTCCTTAGAATCTCAGCTGCTACAGGCAAAGTCAAAACCTAACAAGTATTATCTGAACATGTCTAAATGCTAGGCGTCAATCCATGCTGCCCTTCGCAATCGTCTGACCCGTGCCCTGACTGCATGCTGATCCAGCCAAGCATCCATTCCCGGAAAGACGTTAAGCGTGGTATCAGATGCATTGAAGCCAATCCTCAAGAAAGACTCATTGAAGGATCTGACTGCGTCAGTTCTTGGACTAGTCGTTGAGATCATGAAGCATTTGATGTTGCTTCTGGTCCATCATGTTATTGCACCGCGTCTGTACTAACCAGGACTGTCCCGAGGCCTGGAGCCCCCGAACCATACCACAACCCCCTGCATCCAGTCCCCCTAAACCAAGGTTCTTCGTCTTCAGGGTGGGCCGGTCGTCGTCTTCGGCATCCGGCTCCTCAAAGGCATGGCTTCTCTGCGCTCTACAACTACCTTGCCCATGGATTTGGCGGATGTCTTCAGAAGATCTTCTGGCAACTCACAACACATCCGAGAAGGCGTGGATGGAAACGCATGTTTCCAACAAGTAGCATAGCACAAGGCTTAGTTTGAAGAAAGGACGCACCAAGGTAAACGCACTTTAGAACTTTTATGAGTGCATGTGCTCAAAATCAGACCTCAAGAAATAGGCTAGGAGTAGGCCACGGATTCGGTGGATGCTGCCAAGCTACCAGGCCGTGGCTTAGAAAGATCTCTGACATGCTAGTCACTGAAATTCAACCCAGCTTTACGATCTTGACGAACGGTGGGTTTGCAACGAGGGAGGGAATGGCCTCCGGCCGGGCTCCTCTCAAGCAGCGACTGAGGATCTGGATCTGTACAGAGCAAGGGCCTCTCAGACAGAGGCCACGAAGTTGGGGCATTCTCGTAAAGTTCGCCGTGATCATATACCAGGTTGCATGCCCACATCAGAAAGAAATCCCATGCCCGGAGATCCCCACGCTTGCCCTGGGCCTTCACCGTCGTATGCCTACAATCCGTATGGCATGCCGGTGGGCCCGCAGAGCAGGCGAGGGAGTCATGAAAGTTGAGAGGTCAGTACTGCCACTGCCCCTGCCACCAAGAACAATTCGTATTACTGGTGTACAGAAGCACAGCGGAAAAAAAAAAGAACAAATCATGTATGTCATGTTCCACACATGGGTTCACACTTCTCAGAAGCAAGCACCCCATCTCCCGCGTCCTGAAATGTTAATTGGGAACCCTCAGGGACCTTTGGGGGCGCATTGCTTTTGAGAGAAGTGTTGCAAGCAAAACGTCTCCCCCAACAGCAGGGCCGAGCGCCTGTGACTGTTTGACAGTTCCAAGGGCCCTTTGGCTTGCTGTGGGGCAGGCAGGATATACCGGATCAAGATGGATCCAGCAGCCCGAAAAGCACCCAGCATTGTTGTCTGCGGGCAAAAGCGTCTGTCGCGTTCCACGTCCTGTAGTTCGCTTCCTGCTCACTTCTGGGCTTGCATCTGCAGCTTGTAGTACCTGGGCTTCTTCAAGCCAAGCCAATTCTGTTTGAAGTCCACAGGGACAAGTACTTGCACGGGCAACTTCTCAAAGCCTTGAATCTTGACCTCACTAAGTTTACTGATGGCTCCCTGACCGTCTGCGTGCCACAATTCCGATCTTTGCGGAAACAAGAAACCCTGCGCCATCGATTCAGTACCCTCCCCAAGCCTAATTAACTGAGCCATCACTTCCTCAAGTCCCAGCCCAACATGCGGATCACCAGCATGGATTCAAGTAATCTGAACCATCTTCATGCATTGGCAGTGCTCATTGAACTGTTACACTAAATGTCGCAGACAGAGCCACACTCCCTTCATGGCCATCAACTCGTCGTGGTTTCCCTTTTCCACGACCCGGCCGTCGGCGTTCACAAGGATCACGTCGCAGCCTGTTCCACAAATAGGGGCACGTAATTTGCTGAGATCCGATTCAGCGCCGAAGCTTCCAGCAGCTGCTTTGGAATCTGCACTGTCGGAAAGGCATCTGCGGCAAACTGCCGCTTTGGTGCATTCAAAGATGACTTTGAAGCAACCCAGCCAACATTTCTCATGTCATACGATGAAAACGTAGGAACAGCCTTGGATGGTGGACAGCCGGTGCGCGATGGCGAAGGAGGTGCGACCCTCGCGTGCGGCCTCCAGAGCCTTCCAGCGACATGTACGTAGAAATCATCAGGTATGTAGCATGTAACAATACAGAGACGAATTTTGGATAAGCTGGCAAAAGCTCTAATCTCCTGTTTGCAGTTTGCAGCAATAAAAGAGCTCACTGTCGAAAATCCAAGTCGAAGATGCCGCCAAAAACTTTCTCGCATCTTCTGTCTGATGGTACGAACGCGTGCTCCCTGGGCTAATTCAGTAGTTGGCGTGTGGTACGCACCCTCTCTCATGGCTCAGGGCGGAAAGTATCCAGCGCAAACCCCTCCGGAAGTCAGGCCTAGACCCAAAATTCATTGAAACCGTCTCGCTTTGCAGTTCTGGATGATGGCTCCCGTGTACAAGCTTGTGAATTAGAGGTTCTAGCTTCAGACTTAGGATCTTCCAACTCAGCCAGAATTTCCGTTCGTTTGCCTCCATGATTGTCCCGAATCTTTTTGTGACGGCAGTGTGTTGGCTTTTGGACCCTCGTCAGTGGAACATCTGCTCTCATCTCAAACTTCCCAGGCCAGCCCGTTGGCTCTGAGTTCGAATCCCTCCTGCGCGCACACCTAGTACCAGTACTGGTGCTGCTACTACTGCCACTCCACCGTTTCGTCTCCGTCTTCTGCTGGTACAGCACTCTGCTCTGCCAGTTTTATTATACTTTTCCTCCTGCGGCAGCTGCTGCTGCTGCTGCTGCTGCTGCTATAGCTATTGCCACTGCCACTGTTGCTTCTGCTGCCGCCGCTGTTACTGTCGCTGCTGCTACTGACTGCTCATGCAGTTCCTGTTGCTCCTGCTGCTACTTCTGCTTCTGCTGCTTGCTGCTGCCCATGTTCCTGATGCTGCTGCTGCTCCTAATGCTGCTTCTGCTGCTCCTGCTGCTCCTGCTGCTGCCTCTCCCGCTGCTGCTCGTATACTTGACTGAATACTGACTAGGACTACCACACCAAGTTCAACTACTACTTGTACGACACTACCACTGCCACGGCCACGAATTATCCAGCTTCAGAAGCATGACCACGACCAGCTTCCGACACTTCCAACAACCACGCAGACGTTTCGGCACATGGCTGCGCGCAAGTGGCTGTGCGCAAACAGAAACTTTGGCAACCTTCAACGTCAGAAGACAGGTCCGATTCTGCGCTCAAGGCCTTCTGCACGATCGCCTCACTCTGCGTGTCCAGAGCGCTGGTGGCCTTCGCACTTGGGTGAGGAATCTAGAGATGCATATACCGGCCTTATGGCTTGCGGCAATTGTGGATTGACATGAGGCCATTGCAACATCCTTGAAGCTTTCATGGCTGTTGGTCGTGAATCGTAACTAGAGTTCGCAAAATGCATTCTCAAATAGAGACGTAAAGGACCGACTTCACAACATCTCACAGCGTTCAAGGCAAAATCAGGGTTCACTGCAGCACAAATAATGGCCGCAAAAGGAACATTGAGGCAGATCGTATTAGTCATACCTAGGCCTAGGCGGACTTCGATTCGGGGCTGAGGGAGGTGCTCTTGCCCTCACCTGAAACTTATGCACAACAAGTACTGTACTTCAAAGATCTCCAAACTGAATGCGTTGGCTTGTACTGAACTCCTCGAGCCATGCTCATGCCTCTTGGGACAAGGCTGGTGCCTCCATGGAAGCCCATGAATTTGACGCTCTCAACTCTTGAAACCTGAAGCGACGAATAACGGATTTGCAGTCATTTGCAGCACCTCGTCCAGGAGCATGACTGGCGGATTGCGGATGAGCGCCCTGGCCGAGCACTAGTGGTCTGGCTGACCAGGCAAACAAGCAATGTGTGGAGATCAACCGGCAGGTCATGCAGTCCGCATGCGATATCCTTCGGTTATAGGTCTGGCTTCTGATAGCTTGCCATGAGCAATAAGTTTGGGTCTGCTGTATCCTGTTAACAGCTGTATCAGGATAGCTCTGGGGATTCGCTACCTACCACTCGCCACTGCAAGCTCATCGTGTAGACTGAGCGATAAGGGCCTCTGCATGCATGAAGCCCTGCAAGCTAACACACGTTGTACGGCAGCAGCTTTTGAGTGTGATATCTCCAAAGCTTTTTTGTTGCTTTCAACAGGTCATGCACTTGGGCTCACATTTTCTTTTCCACCCTTGCGTTTGGGGCTGGCACATTGTGATCAGCGCATGGCTTCTGGCGATGGGACTTACGGCATTCCGGCCCCTGGTGCCTGCAAATGGCCACGCGCTGCTTCTGGCCACCTGACAGGCGGCTGCCGCGGGGTCCCACCTTGCTGGCGAGCATGGCTTGCTATGGCATTCGCCTATAACATCATCTAATGCAAAGCCTGTTTCCTGCAAATGCTGCAATGTTTGCTGACGCTGCAGGCTGCAGCATCGCCGTTCTGGCAAATGGTCGCAGGCAATTCTGCAGGCTGCATAGTGGCCACAATGCGTGCGATCACTCAGCAAGTGAGGGAACCATTCATGAGCAAGGAATGGCACGAATGGCACAACGACCAGTTTGCAAAGGAATGGTGTCTTAATCCTGACGTAGGATGCGTTGATACTTTCTCCCAAGCACACCAGCAACAAAAGGACCGGACATCTGTTTCCAGGCCCTTGTTGCCATTCCTCGGCTTTGGGACAAGCTTGCCAGATCCTGCTCAACGAAGCTGCTTCTATGCCATGAAAACCCGAATCCAAGTGTCTTGTACAGGAATGCCAGGTTGGACATCTTCTCCTCAAGTGTTGCACCCAATCCAACCAAGCTACTGGCTTACCAAAGCCACTCGCACATGAACTAGTAGTATGATGGAGATGATGGAGCATGTAGCTTGGATCTTGGACAGGGCAGGCGTGGGTTCAGGCTTGTCATTTCTCTTGTTGCTGTGGATAGCCTTCTCCCCCTTGCATCCCTCTGCAATCATGCAGAGAAATTGTCCGAATCTGTGGCAAAATGTAGGAGCCTCTGGAGGTGGTCTTCAGGTTGGCCAACAACAAAAAAAGCACGCGCACAAGACTTAAGGATGAGGAGTCTCAAAATTACTGTCAAAGGTGATTCGGGGATGAACATAAACCATGGTCCTTCTTGAAAACCTACACGCAAGCCACCAGATGCCTTGCATCCAGACTCTCAGAAGACAAAGAATTCGGGGGAGATCATTCCGACCCAGAGATTGAGCAAAGAGCTTAGGCAGGCTGCAACACGCGGCCATCTTCGTTGCCTTATGCCTTATACCCTGGACTCATCTTGTACCGTCAAGCTTCGCATTGGCTGATGTACTCATCGGTGACAGTCTCACCGTCATCCAAGCCATACCTCGTGAAATTATGGCTTTCAACCCCTCAAAAAAGCTGAAAAGCACTGCCAGTCACGTCATTCAAGCAATCAGCTACAGCCGCCAAACGCGTTCAAGGCCCAGCTTCCAAGCCAATAACTCATACGCACAGAGCCAGCTCAACCGATGCCGCTCTAAGCTGTAGCAGGCCAAACAAACCACGGACCGGCTCACCTTGAAAACTAACGTGATACCTACAGGAACTGTAGGACCTTCAGGCGCCAGCCCTCAAGCTAGCAGCTAATATGGATTAATGCAGACCATTCCTCTTGCACTATGCCAGCAAAAAACAGCATTTCAGATTGGAAGTGCCATCGCATGTGCCTCACTAATGATCACTACATTCCAGGGTTGCGCCTACCTGAGGAACCAAGATGCAGGATGTTGGCTCGCACCGTGGTGTTGAAGAGGATTGGCTCCTCGCGCACAAATCTATAACTTTGCAGGCGCAAATTGCTTGAAAGCCCTCCATGATACCATGATGTGTGGGGTATGTAGCTGGTCTTCCCCCTGGGTTTCAGGTTTCAGCAGCCTGAGACACGCCGGCTCCTGCCCAACAAAACCAATCTGACGACGCCACCAGCGGATGTTGACGGTATCTGCACAGCTTCCAGGGTGCATAACGTATCTCGGTAAAACCGGAAAGTGTCCTGGCATAGCTGATGAATTAGATCTTGATTTGACTCACACTTTTACTTAAGTTGATAATCCAGTCCCAGCTCCAGACTTCCTGTCCGTGAAATTGTTGCTACAGGGGTGAGGATCATGAGAACCCTCGGTTCAGAAGGTACAGGTAAAGCGCTCTTCCACAATTGCTGGGAGTGTAGGCCAGCTGCAGCAAAGTTGCTCAGAGCAACACGGTCGCTGCCAATGAACACGTTGCCCTCCTGGAGGATAGCAGAAGTAAGCAGCGGCAAAAAATCAGATCTTGATGATAACTCGCAAAGTGTGGGAGAACATGGAGGATGTCACCTGAAACCAGGTGAGGTGCTTGAGAGACCCTGTCTTAGCACAAGTATGCTTGGCTGTTCAAGCTACCATGTGCTCTACTTTTGAAGTTCGTAGGGCACAAGGAACTGGAGGTTGACATTGTGTGCGCTCAATGTCGCAGGAACCTTAGGGACAAGTTAAAACCAACATTCCGGCCTGCTTCGTCTCAATTTTTCTTCAGCCTGTAGCAAATCCTTTGGCGAACTTCCCGATGGAGATTCTAACAGAAAAGATGCTAATCTTAACTTAGCAGGCGATCTAATTGCTTCCGCCAACTCGAATTTGGCTTCAACATACAACCTTTCTTATTCTGCAACCTCAATGACCAAACTCCGAACCTTCGGAATGAGGCGAGGCGGGGACCATTTTGATGCTGATGGAAGAATGATACCCTCCCCACACCTGCTCTTAAAGCAAGTAGTGAGGGCGCATGCATTATTGACAGGGATCTCACTGGAGTTGGAAGCTTTGCATGCTATATTTTAGATGGCAGCTTAGGTCCTGGGGGTCGTAGAAGCGCTGAATCAAGGACATCACGGTGCTCTTGCCTGAGCTGGATGGATTTCGCAATTCCGGTTCACATGGCGTCCAGTCAATATTGATTAGTTTCGGGGTTCCAGATTCGGGGTTCTGTGGGGCCTACATCCAGCGAGGTTTAGGGTAGAGGTCTTTAGAGCGAAGAAGGCCCCAACGAAGAACGGAGGATGAAGCTACAAGTAGCCTGTAGGGTACTTTGTTTGTAGTTAGGCAGCGCGATGGATACAACGATCGAAGCAGTATGCTACTCACAGTGAATCTGGATTCCAGATTCCCAGGCTAGATAAACTTGCAAGGAAAAGAACAAAATCAATGTCCAGAAAAGCAAGGGCAACAGATTCAAAATGGATGCCCCCAAACCCCTATAGAACCCCAATATAATATAGTAGCTTCCATTTTATTTTCCATTATCCCATTATAACCCCAATATACTACAGTAGTTTCCACTTTCTTTTCCATTATCCCTATAATAACCCCTATAAAACCCTATAAAACGCTTTAAACCCTAATAGTTTCCATTTTCTTTTCCATTATCCCTATAATAACCCCTATAAAACCTATAAAACCCGTTAAACCCTAATAGTTTCCATTTTCTTTTCCATTATCCCTATAATAACCCCTATAAAACCCTATAAAACCCTTTAAACCCTAATAGTTTCCATTTTCCTTTCCATTATCCCTATAATAACCCCTATTTATAATGTGTGCACAGCCAGGGGCCTCCACCAGAGGGGCCAACCAAACCCACCGACTGCCCGGCAGAGATGCGGAAGGTGATGCCTTTGAGCACCTGACCCAAGTCAACTGCTACACTGATGCTTGAGATATCTACATGTAGAGGGTGCCAGGTGCCACCTCCAGCAAAGTAGCGAGAATCTTGCAAGATAGTCCTTTCGAGACACCTGGAGCCTTAGATGATGCTACTTGAACCCTAATTACCAAGAGCTGTGGCACGAAGACGCCCACAAGGAAACCATTGACCCTCTTCATGAACCGAGCGCAAGCGCAGAGTTGTGCTTGCCAGCTGCAATCCAACCCATGGCACTAGCTCATTTCAGGGGCCTCCACACGCCCAAGAAACAGCAGGGTTCATCTGAAAGCCCGACACTCGACAAGAAATTCCAGACTTCTGTTGGCGCAGGTTTCGTAGCAGTGGCACCTGGACCTCCGGGCGGAAGGGGTAAAAGAACTTGACATCGCTGAACTCGATCTGTCCAGCCTGTGAAGCCGCTTCACAGCGCTTTGGAGGGCTGCGCTGCTAAGACGAGGGCAGCTTGCTACAAGGCTCAATACAGAAGGAAGACCTTCAGACCTCTAGATACATGGAGAAGTTCATGTCGACATTACGCTATACCTGAGCAATGTCTTGTGCCCAAATCGGCATCATGATGCGTCATGATATAGCCAAATCTGGATGTGAAGTGGATGTTTAACCCCAGCTGCGAAACCCTTCGACACATACATCAACAATTACATGTGTAAGTGTAGATGTATACACATGCAGATTGATGTACGAGTGCACACGGCAGTGCGGTGCCTGCAGCTCCTTCGGGGTCTCTCCAACGGGCTCCAGGCCATCAATGGCAGATACACGGTCCTTACAAAAGGACCCTGGTCATTAGAGTAAGCAGCGTTGGAATACTTGTGCGCTTTCTATTTGGCAAGCATTCCATCATCGAAGGACACCAGATTATGAGAGGCCTACAAACTGATGAATGTAAACCGCATACACGTCTGGCTCTACCCATCCGGCCATACATGTAAGCCTGCAATGCCATGCGGCAATGGGAACTGCTCATGTCATTCGGTAAGGCGCGCTGGCTTGTGACTCCTGGGCCCCTCAGGTTTTGGTACCTGCCCACCTGTGGTACAGGTCACATCTCATGGATAGCATGGGAGAAAGCTCATCATAAGAATACGGGCCTTCCAACTTGAAGGCCCATCCGGCTAGAGAACGATCCGCTTTGATCTAAGCAAGCCCTGAACTAATCCGTTGCCCTAAACTTCGCCTAAACCCTAATCAAGCCCGGCAAGTACAAACTGTGTAAGGCCAAACCTGCATCGGAAACTCGCGCAAAACCCGCTCAAGTCAAAAATTGCTCAAACCTCTAATGGGAGCCTCATACAACTCGTATATTCCCTCAAACCAAACCCTACACCCTCATGCAGCATCGGCTCCATGAGCTGGAACATGTCGTGGCATGCCACCTTCGCCTGTAACAGAGCATTCAAAGGGGGGGCCCTTGACGTCTCGAATTCATATGGTTTTTTTTAGGTAACCTACAATCTAAGCTCGTTAAAAGCAACCTTCCATCACCTGCTCACGTGGAGTATGTTGTTCTCAATGGGAAGACACCGAAAACACTGCGGCAAGGAATGGAACGTAGGAAGGATGATAGCAACATAGGAATTACCCGACACGTTTTGCGTCTTCAGACGCAGGTGTGCGGTTGCTCGCGCTTTACGCTAGGTGCTGGGGAGGGGGAGCCTCATCACTCGTTCAATGGGACATCTATGGAGGAGAGTTCTGAGCCTTGCGCTTCGTATGCTGACAGGACCATTTGTGGAGGAACGCTGTCCAACTCAAGGGACTCTTCTTGCAATGGACTGCGGATGAGAAACATCAGTCTTTTTGCAGTTCACTTCGGGTTGAATACTCAAAGCAATTGTTTTGAATCAGCAGTCCAATCTGGATCCAGCCTTCGTTGCATCGCCCACCATCACAGCAGCTTGACCAGCTCCCATGCCTTCGCACTTAAATCGAAGCAGTTTTGCAGCATCTGGGACCAGTCCAACCTACTCATCCTGCGGACTGCATAAGCTACAACATACACACGACACTGAAAGCTGAGAGAGGGAGAGGGGAACCCGATGCCCTCATCTCGCTACGCACATTGTGCTGGGTAATTGCTATACAATTTCTGTGGCCTGCAACAAGTTAGCCGCTCCCACCTGCGTAGAAGATGCCCATGAAGGCCATCATCACACCCTGGAAGTCCGCGACGCCCTCCTGAGAAGTGCAACGCCCACGCACGTCACATCGTTTCTGAACACGAATGGCCAACGGTCAAGGGCTGTGGGACAAGCAGTCTACAACTGGGGGTAAGATAAGAGCAATGTTTTACATACCTCACAATCTGATTTGAGAGGAGGGTTTAGGGTTTCGTGGCCTATCGATCACTTGGCTGGAATGTCCAATGCAGCATGTAAGCACACGTAGTGTGTGCAGACAAAGGCTTTCTTGAGCTGGAGCCTGCTGCATACTGTGGCCTTCCTGCGGCCATATATTCTCTAATATCTTCTGATGGTACGCAATGCTGAGGCATTGCAGGCAACCTAACTTTGCTTCCTCAAATGGTGTATGATTCCATTAGGAACTGAGCCAGTTGAATCATTACAGGCTCCAACCGAAACTAACAACTAATGTCTCTACCACCAGCTGACCAAGAGATCGATGCTTTGAATTAGTGGGCAGCCTCCACGACTTATGCGGACCTAATGAAACGTTCGGCCCCAATAGTGCCTTGATCAGGAAGGAGGCGACGTAGAATCCGCCGGCCATGATGAAGAACCTGAGCATTCGCCAATTCAATATGAGCACAGCCTCACTCAGCTTCGTTCGAAAACAGGCATTCTGAATGGCATGCATTGCCCGGTTAGAGAACTGAACACCTTCTCGAACATCAAAGGCCAAAGGCTGCACATAGCGGAACCCCCATTCGCCCATCCAGCCATTCCTGATTTCGAATCAGTGCCGAATGGATGCTACTTCGGCTAGAGCAGTGTTATTGTTACGTCTGGAGGGCACTTCAAAGCTCGAAGCCGCCGCCTTGAAGAATCCAGCCACTCGTGTCACTGTTGACAAGCGAGACTATGGTCAAGGGGCATGATGCCGTTGGAGACGCCGAAGCCCAGACCCGCAAGGATGTTGCGCCTTGGCAGTGAACGCAAGGGCCGGTCACTGCGCTGCAGTATGTCTTAGAACTGCAATGCTGGGTTGGAGAGCACGACCTCCCGAAAGCGACTTCTCACCTGTCGAGCCTCTGCAACTGGTTTTCGGGCCTAAATGTGATGGCGCGGAACGTCGGATTCAAAGTATCTAAAGAGTCAGGGTTCTGAGATGAAGGTCTTCCGGCCTGGACCTCACCAGTGCAGTGCTTTGAGTGTCTGATTCGGCTGCTCTTCTGGAAAACAACCACTTGCTCAAGATCACCGTGCATACAGGGCACCTCCACATGCCCACCAAGGACTTCTCAACCCAGCCGACGTACATGCCCACCAGGCCCTTCTCCACGCCCAACCTCGGACTGCATGAAATTGAGAAAAGGAAAGGTAAGGCATGGCAAAAGGATGTCAAAACATGGCAAAACTATGGGGAGCATGGTTCGGCTCAAAATGTTTGGCCTCAATTATTGAGGTGGCAAGCACAGGCACTGGTCAGTTGGTGAGTCAGCGAGAATTATCCGTGGGATCATCTTGCTGAATCAAACATCCTTGATGCCGAATTCCGAGTTTGCGTCCCGGTTTGTAAAAGCTTTGATGGGCTTCATGATTTCAACCTGAAAAAGGAAGCTTCTCTCTACAACAACTGGGCAACGCTTGCACCGTGCGAGCGTTCATCACGGAGTCCACGACAATCTGATTGGCATTGGTGATGTTCCTCGAACGGGAGGGTAACAACTACCGCTTAACTTCTAACTTGCTCACAAGCACAAAGGAGCCGCATTCTCAAACTCAGGCTAGGCTCTCGTTCTCATTCTTTGAGGCACCCAGCAGCACCAACATCTGCAGGGCCTGTGCTGCAATCCTCGGCCAATCTTCCAAGAATTGGCCACATACCCTAAACTCAGCCACACCATGAATCACAAAGCTCTAGGCAGAGGTTGACACTCCTGAGCATGGATCGGCTTTTTTCCCAGAACACAACATAGTCAGGACAGTTTACTGATTTAGTGCTGCATGCCCCCCCCTTTTTTCCAGGAAACACTCAGCAGAGCATGCCACACAACTATCCCGACTGGGCGAGGAACATGACGGGGATGGAGCCCAACATCACCAGGGACATCTGCCAGCAGTAGACGAAAGCGATCCTGATGCTGGGCTGTGTCGGGAGGCTTGTGACCGTCGGAGGCGCTTGCCGAAGTAGCGCTTGCACAACCCAAAGCCTGGAAGATCCTCGAAACATCTGGCGTGAACTTGCCCATTTGATCCTAACCCTCTACAAGTACCACCTTATTGATGCATGAGTTCATAGGGGCTGCTGTCATCAGCAAAGCTTGCTGGTGTCGTCTGCGAGGGATAACCTTCAGGAATCCAAATGTTATTTCTCGGTGCTGCCTGCTGCAGAGATAAGCCTCGCAGTATTTTGGTCCGAGGACACATAGGAATCCTCGAGCAAACCCCAGCTTTGTTGAGGGTAGCAGCCGCAAAGATACTGCTACAAAATTACAGGGCTAGCTGGTGAAAGGCCGGTTCCGCAGCTACCTGACCAAGCCACGAGACCTAGCCCTCTGCTGGAATGAAGGCCCTGAGAAATTTGTTGCCTTGCAAACACCTTAGGTTGAAATGAAAGAAAACTCTTTCAGACATGCCGGGCAACACGAGACCGACCACCAAAGAGCTCATCGCCGCAGCCTTGGCCTGTACCAAAAGTCATATACAAGTTTGGCCCAAAGAAAATCTGACTAGATGACAAGGACTAGCTACGATGATCCCGCCCATCAATACGCTTGAACACCAAAGTTGAGGCCCCCTAGACCGAAGCGCTATAGGCACTGGGCAGCAAATTGGATTGGTCTTCGGCATGTCATTTCTACAAAAAACATCTGAGTCCAAATAGCTGACTGCGGTGCTGGATGCAGGTGCTACTCTGTCGCTTTCACTCACACTGTGAGGACTATTGCGGGCTCGTAGAGTATGCGCAGGTGCATCAGGTCAACACTGTTCTCAGCAAGGTTGCCTAGACGGTTGGGGACAGAAGAATGGACTAGACGTAGTTAGAGATGAATGCCTATGGTGAGTTTGCCATGTTTGGTTTGGCTTTTCCACACCCGGCCTGTCAAAGTGGCGCATGCAGTATCCCTCTGCTTTTACTTCAAACCATCAGATGCATCAATCTACTTCACTGCGCACTACCATGCTTGTGACCTGTCTGTTCACACCACACACTCCAGCCTGGATGGACTTGCACAGCGTGGCCACGCGGAAGGCCCAAAGTTCCAGTGCTTTGGAGAGCATTCCTGGTAAGCTACAGATTTGTAAGTAGACTCTGGATTGGCTCAAGAGGCTTCAGGGGTTGCAGTACCGAGGCTTACTGGCCCCGCATGGTCATGCGGCAAAGGATGGCAAGCTTAAAAGGACCGGCGATGCCAAAGCACCAGCTACATCCCTGACGTCCACGCGTGGGCCTTTAAACCGCGGCGGGCTTCGACTTGCAAAGCGGTGGGTCGTAAGGTATGAGGCCGTTTGACAGAAACTCACAGAACACTCCCAAGTCCATCAATAAGAAAGCTAACCTGGTGGAACCTGCCTGGTGTGTTGGCCGGGTTGTCGTGGAAGCCCACCTGCGCGCAGGTCTTTAGACTTCTAAGTCAGCAATCGCAACAAAAAAACGTGTAGACAATAATCATATTGATGATGCTGATGTGCGGCAAGAAACGTGTATCAAGCCTGAGCCCTATTCGTGGGGTTCTCCAGGACAGCCGGAAATAGTTGGAAGTGGTACGGATTCCAGAATACATGGGCATGGGCCAAGTGCCACAATAAGGGCTCATGGCGCTGCTTGTAACCTCATGCGGTGGACAGCTCAAAGGGCAGGGCAACCAGCCTCTGCTCGGCGATGTACATGTACATGCATGTGCAAGCACACCGATTTGTTCTTGCGGTGTTTTTGTTTCGGAAGGCACGATTGATACAGCGCGGGCTGTGGGGTCTTGACCTGCCTGACTTTCACCCTTGCAGCGTATGCGGCGTTGCGCGGCCTCCATCGTAAAGTACCCATTGAAGGCTTTCCCTTTGCACCGATCGTGCGCATGGATGCAAGGATTTCTCTGTACAAAGTTGGGATCCCAGTTGCACGGTCCAGACGCCTCGGCGTCATCTTGCAGACTTGGAAACGTGGGAACAGGGGCCTAACCCATGAAACCCTATCCAAAACAGGTGTATCGATAGCGAGGATGGCCATGGATAGGTGCCAGCTTAATCATGCGTGCCTCCTGGCGGAACATGCCAGTCAAGATGGCCACGCGAAGGCGCTGAGTCATGGCTTCGCCTAGGAAACGGTGGCCGGGCTCGAAGGAGGGCTCGATTCGATGGTTCTGCAAAGCAAGTCAAGGACTTGAAAACGTTTGTTCTTAAGGTTGGAGACCACCTCAGCCATCCTCACGATAGCTCCGTGATCGTTCGCCAAGGCGGCTCTTTTACTGAGCGACTCAAGCTTAGCATGAAGTACTGAAAGGGTTTCTCTGCTGGCCGATGATGGTGTAGGTAAGGGCTTTGGGGCCTATAGGGTTTGTAGTTCAGGATGCCACGAGTTACTCGCACTCGCGTAGTGGGAAGTACCAGAAGGGCTTAATGGATACTTTTTAGTGGGAACCTGCTGGGTCGGCTGTTCCTCTTCTTACGTTTGGTGTTGAGCACATGGAAATTTCTGACTGACTGCAAGCGCATGGCGCAGTCTAGCGAACGGCGCCTGACATCAGGTGCGGGCCAGTTTGTTGTAAATTTGTGAACGGGTCTCTATAGTAATCGACCTATTGCTCCATGCACAACCGATGCAACAAGCAAGAGCAATCAACCACAATGCCTAATCCATGCTAAAATTGTGACCAAACTTCAAATCCTCATCCCAAAACCGGGACTTTGTCACAAAAGTCGTCGCCAAAACTGCGGGCTGCGTCTACTCCCTGACATAGCGTCAGACTCTGTAGTTGAAGGACTCCGGGAGCAAATCCAGACACTTGCTGCCCGGTCTCCAAGGATGGAGAAGCAGCCATGGGAGATGGTAGAGCCGACAAAAGCCTCAGATTCGGTTGGCTTTGCTGACTGGGGACACTATGCCTCCATAATCCTTAATGATCTTCACGCGGCGGGAGCCAAGATCCCCGACTATTGGTTCAGTGGGCTATTTGGATTCGCAGAGGCGGGTCGAGGTAAGCGATGATACTGCTGGAAACTCAAAGTTGTGCGATGGAGTCTGTGTTGCAAATACTGTGCAACTGCAGATGCAGGCCTACAAGAAACACAAGAAAAGGAGTGAGCTGAACCACAAGCCCCAGCCCTCGTGCCACAACTCCCGTCACCACTGGGCTGAACCTAATGCAGAATTCTGCATGCAGGTGGCTGACTGGCCAATGATCTTATCGTTTGGGCTTGTTCTGCTCAAACTCAATTTCTCATATCAAACGCACAAGATGCACGATGCAGTCCGTGCGTAATCGGGCGTCATGCTATTTTTGCGGCTCCGGCACCCTCTCTGGACGCCAAGCCCCCTTCTCGGGGCTTACACACGCTCTACGCTTGTTAGACCACGCTAAATTGTCTGGGACATGGGTCCCTGCACTCACGAGACCTGACCTATACCCCTGCCGCCTAAAAAATGGACCTCTGGATACCCTATCACTGGTGGCACATAGACCCCTTAAACGCGATACACCCCAAAACCGTCCTAGGAACTAGTAGACCCCCTAGAGGTGCGAGTAGTTTCCCCAGTAGGCCCTCTAGACTTCTCACGTCCAGGAGCACTCACGCCGATGATAACGAAGATCAGAGACATCAGCTCCAAGTCACGCCTCATCTCTTCCTGTGACACGTGAGGCGTACATAACAGGCACCCTTCTGAGGCATGTTTGCTTGACTGCCAGGCAACCTAGCGATGTGTCTCCTGAGCCCAGGAATTTCATCAGTACAGCAGTCATCACCTTTCCGAATACAGGCTTTCCTTGAGCCCAAATTCCAGAAAGACCTTCCGCGAGCTGCCCTGCATTGTAGTATCAAATGCAAGTTTGCAGACTGTTTCCTCAGACTTTGGTGCAAATCCCATGCAAGCAAGGACTCTACCAGCCTTGTCCGTCTTGAAGAAGCCCTCCATGGAGCCGACAAGTGCAATCGTGCAGACTGGCATGGCAGAGCCTGGAGCTTTGCAAATAGAATGCAACTGTAGGGCTAGGGCGGCTACAGGGGAAAAGGGGTTGAAAGTTTGGGAATCAAACTGTCAGGATGCGTGGATAATGGGCAGCAAGCTCTCAGTGAGTGGCTACTTCACCCCTGCGTCTGCAACGAAGCAACAACAAATGGAGATGCCTGCGTGATCCTGCCTGAACACACAAATCCAGGTCAGCAACTCACAATTTGGTCCAAGCACTGGCTTGCAACTACGTCCACACCCATCCACGAGGACAACAAACATGTTATAATCAATCAATGCATCTTCGCATGGAGATCATGGAGTCAAGATGGGTCAAGGGCACCGTCAACCATGGCTCCAAGGACGGCAGGCACAAAGAAGGGCCACCTTGCACGCACGCAAAGCCCCGGGCTCTGATGAAACTCCTCTGGGGTAGCAGGAAGTTCTTACCGTGGCTTCTTTTCCATCCCGGCAACACGTTGATGCAACTTTCATGGGAGGCGGGTGCAGAAACCCACCGTCCTAGTGCTCCAGCGGAGGGCTGAGGTGGGACCACAATCGTAGCCTTTGGCATCATATTTGCGCCCAGCCACTCTGGCTTGTTGTAGCTGAGGAGTCGGCCCATGGGCACCTGCCAAGTCAAGTCAATAATCATCTCTGTGGCAGCAGCAGCGAAACGACACCACTCAGACACGCAGCATCTAGCTCGGCTTGGGATGCCTCAACATGGTCACAACAGCTAATTAGTCGGCCTACTTACTTGCCGCGATGGCCGTCATTAATCTGGTCTCATCGATATCAGAACTGCGCACATGACAGCCAACTACTCTCATGTCCATGTTGACCCTATGGCACTTCTGTCATTGTGATAGGCGGACCCCAAACTGAAACCCTTTGTTGGGAAATCCTAAACCCGAAAATCACATCCCTATACAACTATATATATATATACATATATGTATATTATCCTATAGACCTCCTTAAAGGTATCCCTAATTTTGGTGTCAATGAACCTTGTACTTCTTGGTGATCTCCTTCTCGCGTTCGGCCTCTGCTTCCTTCTCCTTCCTCACCTTGTCTTGAGTTTCCATCATCCGTGACAAGCTGGAGAGACTCCAAACAAACCATGCAAACATTCTGCCTTGGGGACCCCTCCAACTAGCTTGGACAGAAACCCCATCGAAGGCTTCAGATGCAGTGCAGTAGCTTAGTACTTCCCTAGCCAAGTTCAGGCCTTCCAGCCCCTCGCACCGCATGATTAGCCAGGTCACGCGTGCAGTCTCGGAGTCGCCGGAGTTGGTTGATGAGCGCTTCACTACCATCGCGTGAGTGTTGTCGTGCCTTCACTACTATGCAGGAGTCTGCAGGTCATAGCACGGACCTTGCCTGCACAATGTTTACATGTTGGATGCTGTGCTAGGCTACCATGCAAGAGTCAAGCCATGAAGATGCCTGACTTCCAGCAGGAAGTTCTTACATGCAACCTACGTACAGGTGGGCATATAACCAACACCAGGCTATCGCAGTGGCTGCGGTTGAACTATCATGCGCAAACTTCTACTCTGTCCATACTTGCTGCATCTTGTCGTAACATCCAGACACTGCTCTTATGTGAGGTGGGATGTTTACCAGAGCTTTCTTGGATGCAGCTGGCGCAGAGAATTAGACCGCAGCCAGCAGTGTCGGGGGTGCTCAGGAATTACACAACACTGGCGTTGAACCATTGGTTGCCGGCCACTTGTAATCAGGGCTCCTAAACAAAGGCCAAAAAATCCCATAGCAGTAACATCTTACAGTGTGTGCAGACCATCCAACTTGCACTTACTTTTAGAGCAGTTCTGCTGCGAAAGCCTAATGTGCTTTTAGTCTGCATTCCGAGCCCCTGATAGTTGTGCCATGTGACAAAGTACTACGTAGCGTCTTGAATAGTTAGGGCCAAGATGCGGCACAGGGGGTGCTTCATCTCCTTCGTCGGCCTGCCAAGTACCCCAAAAAATTGCCCATGAGGATCAAGGAGTTGGAAGAGTCATCGATAATGGGCCCTGAGGCCTCTTGGTAATGATCCTTTACGCCGTGTTTCAATGGCATCGGTTTTCATGCCTGGTACCGTCCTGCTACTTGTTGATGATCCTCATAAAGAGGCCTCTATCAACTGCGAGCATGCAAAGTGTGTCAGGAATCCAGTGTCACTTCTGAAATGCTTTGCCATGCTTTGCCTATCGCCTTGTGCGAGGACTCCTGAGCTGCCACGAGAGCATAGTAGGTGCCCTTCTTCCTCAGGTGCTCTCTGCTTGGCTGGGGTGCTGTCTTTGGCACAGGGCTAAGTCCAGCAGTCAACAAGTGCCTCGCACACGGAATCTTGATGATATTTGCAGATTCTTGGGGTGATCTCCACGTGACTTTACACGCTTACGGTCTATTTCCAAACCCCAATTGTAAGGTCTTGTGTCGCTACGGCCGAAACATGCCAGCTGTTAAGCTCATTCTGTGTTCTGACTGGCTTCTCCATGAGAGAGGCGTGGTTGCCTTTCTCCACCAAAGTGCCGCGGCTGAGAACGTAGATGAGGTCAGCGTTGCGCACGGTACCTGAGGTCCAAAGACGCTTCAAGCATGAACCCACGAGTGAAGCAGTGCAACGCTAAGTCCAAAGACAAAAAGCCCCAAAGCAGCAAAACTTCCCTGACTTGGCTTGGCAGGATGCTGAGTCGGTGCGCGATGCTTACGATTCCCAAGCCGCCGTCGGCGGTGGCGCTGATGCTGTCAATCGTGGCCTGCCATAGGCTATTGTTCTAGCCATCTCTAGCCTGCCTAGTTCTGGCGTTCTCCAGCTGCAGCCCCTGCGCACAGGCTTCTGTGCATTCTTCCACTCGTGCACCCCAAACCCACAAGTCTTTGGGCATGCAGGCCCTGAGGTCTGCGAGGTCCAGAGGTACAACCGATGTCCATGTCCCCAGGTCAGTGCCTGAATCATCTTCTCAGAAGTGTTGTCCAGGGCGCTAGTTGCCTCGTCCAAGAAGAGGAAAGAAGCCTCACAGGATGTGCAGGTGTCAGGAGACTCACCAGGTGGGCAGCAAGGCATCGTTTACATGGGCAGCCGAGCACAGCATCTATTTCACCGGGATCATGCTCACAGGCTATACTAACCCTCCAGCAAATCGCCCTCAAGGCCTGCATCCTAAGTTACATTCCATCCAACCATTTCCCAGGCAAACCCACAGGCCGTCCTTAACACACTTCCGTGTTTTTAGCTGGCCTTCTTCAACAAGGCCCGGGCGATGGCAATGCGCTGCTTTTGGCCTCGCGCGGAGCATGGCACCAGGATCTAGGGGCTGCCTGTTACGGTCTATGTTAAGAACTGTTAATGCATACTGGGGATCTCCATGCTTACGGGAGCCGCTTCATACAGCCCTTCTTGCAGGACTAGCAACGAGAATGATGATTGCTGCCAGACATGGCCCGTGCCAGTGAATCTTTTCTGAAGCCCAGAAACCAGCATTCTCTCACGAACCGCAGCCGGCATAATCGCGCTGTGACGGCGTTATGACGATCCCCACTGAGCATGACGACTGTAACAAAAATGATGAAAATAATGAGGAAATAACAAACTACTATAGTGAGTACCTGCAATAACCTGAGAAGAGGGATGCTAGTAATTCTGCGCTAAGAAGAGATGATGCTTAGTAAGCCAGCTGTAAGCTAGCCTCCGGAGAGCTGGCCGCCGCCGCTGCCCACGAAGGTGTTGTACCTATGACGGCATCTGCTGAGTAGTCTTCTAAGGCTTCTTCTTGTGGCTTCTGGCTAAACCATTCTTATTCCTGGCTCTACTAATATTAGAGGAAGTAGTAGCTGCAGAAAAGAGCGGGTTGAGGGTTCAGGTTACCATTCCCCATCGGAGAAGCTTGATTACACCTCTTCGTGTACTTCATTCTCGAAATACATACGACTTCAGCCAAGATGCTTTTGCCGAACTTCACTACTGCACTGCGAATGCTACCAAGGTGCTTGTCGGGCAAGTTGTCGACAAAGCTCAGGTTGGCATCAGAGCATGCCTTCGCAAAATCCTGAACAGGTGGGTCTGGACTTTTTGAGATGGAGGTGAAATCGAGGTGAAATCTCCTTCTCATTTTTCTAAGTAAGTGCTTCCGGGGTTCGAGGTGTCAGCGCATCAGCGGTAACAAATACATGGGGCTCCAGATAGAAGCCAGACAAACAAATCGTAAAAGCGGCAGAGAAACAAACACCCGCAAATTGCACTTGTCCCTCCCTTGCGCGGTTTGCCAGCATGCGAGCGCGCACACCCCCAGGCTGAATTCCAAGCCTAAGCTGGCCAAGAAATTCTAAGACTCCTTACCTATGTAGCGGCGATACCCCATATAAAGGCTGAAAACTGAAGCAAAACATCCTGGAAACTTCAACATTCCAACATGAGTACTCCAGCTGCACTCCGTCCTCCTTGCTGGCAGATGGGTTGCCCTGCATGATGTTGTGCCGGATTGAGCTTGCAAAGAGGACGGGCTCCTGCTAGGCAGACGCAGTTTTGCGTGGGAACACGGCGTGTACAAAGCAAAACAGGCATGAAGCTCTTAAGAGGACTCCAGGCTCAAGAAGACGACTGAGGGCATGGAAGTGATTGGACTGGCATTTTTTTGTGTGTGCTAAACTTGGCTTCTTGGCTGTGGCATAGCCGAGCCAAGTTGGCTTGAAGGTCCAGGAGTTCGGGCCCTGCAGTCCTGTCCCACATAGCCGATGCACCTTTAGCGGCAGCCATGACAAAAAAAAAAAAAAAAAAAAAAAAAAAAAAAAAAAAAAA